AGGATGGGGGAGGTGGGAGGAGAAAGACAGAGGGAATGGTCTGGGCGGAGGGGAGAGGCTGTGATGAGAATCCAGGGGACGGCCCTTGTAGGTTTTGCCACTTGAATCTGTAGGGACAGAATCTGTTCCTTTTAGTTTCACTTTAAATAAAACTGCTTATCACGGTGATTTCCAAGTGTATCTTCTGTTAGGGCCTTTTCAATGGCACTATTTGACATAAGGTTTTTCAAGAGACGGAGTGACATTAGCATATCTAAGAGAAATTCCTTTGGGAGTGAGTTTGGAAAAGTCATTAATATAACAGAGAGGAAGTAAAAGGCATTTCTGAGCAATTTCCAATTTCAGATCCACTTTTCTGCTAGCAGGATTTTGACCTTTCTGTTCTATTTATTTAAAAAATTAAATTTTCGACAGAATTCAGTCCTCCACAATGGGGAACTCTATTATTGCTGACCCGAGTCAAAGCACAGTTCAGTCTTTGGTCTCTTGTTCTCTGCAAGTTGACATGACAGAAATGCACGGCCTGCGTCCGCAGCTTCTGTACGTTCTCCAAAGATGCACCCACCAGCTCCCAGGCTCCCAAGTTCACACTGGAATTCTCAATTCATAATTGGTGATTCTCCCCACTTTGAACTAGCAGTAGTGTATTAACAGAAGCTGTCACTTGTTGAGTCGATGACCTGCTCTTTGCTTCCAGTGTCTGCTAGGCAACTCTCCACTCGGTTATGGGGTAAGTTTCACAACATCTCGCCTTTGCTTGTATGATCTCCACGTAAAACGCCCTATTTCTCCAGCAGCCAAGATATCGAGCACATAAATTCCTTGATATGCAAAAAAGCCTCCTGAAGACAACTTTCCTGCCTTGACACACACTGATCATCATGTCCTAGCTATATAGCCTCTTGTCTTTCCTGAAGTGGGACTGTTCCTGTCTGCCTCAGGGCCTTTGCACATACAATTCACCTGACTTGGGTGACCAACTATCTCAATTTCCTGGGACTGAAGAACTTCCCTTCTGTGGGATTTCCAGTGCTAAAACCGGGAAAGTCTGGACAAAGCAGAACAATGTGACCACTGTACCTGCAAGGAGAACTGTTCCCCTGCTTTCCTCTCTTCACTCAGCTAACAAACTTGCTCTTCTATTAGCTCCCAGCTGAAGTGTCACTTCTTCCAGGAAGCCTTTCCTGACAACTTGGACTAGATTGGAAGATGCAGCCTGCCAGAATACTATTATTTATCTCCAAAGCATTTATTTGAGTTTTTAATCGCATGGTCACACAAATCCAACCACTAATCTGCTTTCTGTCTCTATGGATCTACTTATTCTAAATGTTTTATTTCATATCAGTGGGATGGGTACAAGCTTTCACTTTGGGGTGATGAAGACTTTTTCGAGATTTATTTACTATTTTACGCTCTAGTGAGTCTTTGCTGCTGCGTGCAGGCTACGGTTGCGGTGGTCAGGGGTGACTTCAGTGCGGTGTGTGGGCTGTGCTGTGCCAACATGGGTAGATTTTAAATGCTACGAAGGAAATAGACAGGATGATGTGATGGACAGAGGGATGGGAGGAGGGGCCGTGGAGGCCACCAGGGTGTGTTGTCATGTGACAAAAGCCAAGGGGAGAAATACATGTTCGTGTGTTCCATCTGCAGCCGTTCATTTGTGCATAGCTGACACATTACGGGACACATAGACAGAGACAATAGCAGTCATTTTCGGGGAAGGGAAACAGGATCTGACCCGGAGTGAGAGGAGGAAAGTTTACTTTTTATTTCTGTGGGTTTCTTTATTCTCAGAGAATTGTTATTATGCACAAATACAAACACACAGATAACAGAGTGTCATGAATCATGACATAGCAATTGCTCAGTGAGGGCAGGATTCATTCATTGCCAGTCTTGTTTCCTCATGTTCCCACTGAATTATTTTGAGGCAAATCCCATTTTATTTATGCATATTCTAGTTTGTCTCTCAAACACATGGATTTGTTTTAAAAATGTAAAATTTAGGTGCCATAATAGTGTGGCTAAGAATAATAGTGTTACTTTTTATTATATATTTGCAGTTTGACTATTTGAGTAAAATTATCATTTAATATTTCATCGTTTTAAAAGAAAGCTAGGATCCTTTTTGTTTCCTTGGTTCTTTTTCCCAAATGTGATCTGTTGAGGGGCTGAGTGAAATGATCGCATGACCCACGGACCGCTCAGCCCTGTGAATCAGAATGCAGGGCTTGGCCTTAGATAATGCCAGGCTCAAACCTCACCTTTCCTGCTTGTTCTCTGTCTGACTTGGACAAAGTCCTTAGCCTCTTGGAGTTGTCGTTTCCTCATGTAAAGTAAAGAAACTAAAATGAGTATCTGGCTCACTGTGAGAGTTATATGAAATTTTGCAAGAAAGGATGATAGCTTTTAGCACTGTGGTGAGACAGCGTGCACACTCTATTGTATTCTGTATTCTGTAGCTGTATTCTGCTGTATTCTGTAGCTGTATTCTGTATTCTGCTGTATTCTGTATTCTGCTGTATTCTGTAGCTATATTCTGTATTCTGCTGTATTCTGTATTCTGCTGTATTCTGTAGCTGTATTCTGTATTCTGCTGTATTCTGTATTTTGTATTCTGCTGTATTCTGTAGCTGTATTCTGTATTCTGTTGTATTCTGTATTCTGTATTCTGCTGTATTCTGTATTCTGCTGTATTCTGTAGCTGTATTCTGTATTCTGTAGCTGGCTTTCCTGTCATGTCTTGGTTGCAAGTATGGATTCTGGAGCCTGTGTCCCTTTCTGCTAGGTGGCTAACTTTTAAATTTTAATTTAATTTTTATTATTATTCTTTTTAACATTTATTGTTACCCTGACAGATGCTCAGACAGCATGCTCTTAGTGTTCAATAAATACTTTTTTTTGCGCCCCCCCACCCCCGCCTTGGGGTTTTAGTTCCCCAGCCAGGTGTTGACCCACCGGTGCCCCCTGCAGAGGGAGCAGAGTCCTAACCACTGCACCACCAGAGAAGTACCTGGGTGACTTTTTAAAAGGGATCAATATGTACATATAATATGTTCCACTCAAAATATGGTAGTTATTGCTAGCATTGTTACTTTATACTGTTGTTGTTTAATCACTAAATTGTGTCTGACTTGTTTGTGATCCCATGGATGGTAGCCCACCAGGCTCCTCTGTCCATGGGATTTCCCAGGCAAGGATGCTGGAATGGGTTGCCATTCCCTTCTTCAGGGGGTCTTCTCGACCCAGGGATTGAACCTGCACCTCCTGCACTGGCGGGAGGATTCTTTACCATGGAGCCACCGGGGAAGCTCCACTATACCTATACATAAAAGTTTTATACCACAAAGTTAGTGCACCCTAGTTCAGGATGGAAGAGCATAGAGTTCCCCAAAGATGCTGAGGTTCAGTTCCCACAAATAGCATGTCAGATTGAAAAATAAGGGTGCACATTCGCTCTTGACTGGAGTCTGTGCCTACTTGTAGTGATAGGATAGAAGAGGGGGTCAGGTCAGCTCTCACAGCATTCTAGCCAGCTCCCTTTCCCCTTGGGGGAAGGGTCAGCTCGTGCAGTAAAATGGAAGGACCTTTTTTCTGTAGCTTTGCTGAGCAAAGGATGGAAAAATGCAATAAGGGCTAAAACTTCTGGAATTCTGTTCAACTGGAAACTTTAGAAAAATTTTACCATCTTCCTTTCTCCAGGTATCATCCCTTTTATGTCCAGGCATGCCTCCCCAGGCAGCTCAGAGGTAAAAAATCCTCCTGCCAGAGCAGGAGGCGCAGGAGATGCAAGTTCAGTCCCTGGGTCGGGAAGGTCCCCTCGAGAAGGAGATGGTGACCCACTCCAGTGTTCTTGCCTGGGGAATCCCAGGGACAGAGGAGCCTGGTGGGGGACAGTCTGTGGGGTCCCAAAGAGTTGGACACGACTGACCACATGCACACATATGGGGGTTGCTTGTCTGAGAGGCACGTCTTCAACTGGAAATACATGTCAAAGCCTTTGGCTCTGACGCAGAGCACTCCTGTAGAAAGCACGTTTTTGTTGTTACAACTCTCACTGTGATCATGATATGTGCAGAGGTAACTGAGACACAAGGCAGAGACCAGTGAGCATCTGGCGGAAGTGCAAGAGAGGATGGAATGGGAGCTTAGAGAATAAAGGACCCGCTTCCAGCTTGAAGGTCAGCGGCAGGAGTCCTGAGAAAAGCAATTGACAGTGATGCTAAGAGGGAGGGGAGTTTCAGATGACCCTTGAATGATGGGAAGTGTCTGGACATGTGGAGATGAGGGGAATGTGGAAGAAGCCAGCGTGAGTAGAGATATTATGGGATGTGTATAAGAAGTTTGGCTTCTCTAGAGTGTGGATTCCATGAAGAGGGAACTGTGAGAATTAAAGTGGGAATTACAGATCCTGACTGAGTCATGAAGGCCTTGAACTCAAGGCTAAGGGATAGAGAATCTAATCTCTGGGTCAGTGGCTCATAAACTACTTCTGTCCTGACACACCCAAGGGATGGTGTTCATGTATGTGACTCTCCCTTTTGGGAAGAAGCAGGGTTTTGCACAATCCAACGTAATTCCCTTGCTTCCTCTTCTGTTTAAGAGAATGTATCAGAAGGCAAGTGAGTGAGAATGACATTTTTAGAGAGATGGACTCCACTGATTCATTTTGAACACATTGATCATTATCAAACGTTGTGATTCTAATTGTAATTTAGAAGCGGTAGATTATATGCTGGTTAAAAAAAGTGGGGCCAGATTACTTGGGTTTGATTTCCAGGTCTTCTGCTTACTGCTGGGATGACCTCGGGCATGATACTGAATCCCTCTGTGCCTTTATGTCCTCATCTGTCAACTGGGGAAAGAGTGCCTACATCACAGGGCTGTTGGGAGGACTAAATGGAGAGGTGCCTGTGACGTGCTTGGCATAGAATAAGTGCCTTGAAAGGGTAGGTATTACAGTTTGTAAGTCACTGAAGACTCCTGGGTGGTGGACACCGTGGCTCTCAACTGTGGGGCTTTGAGCAGAATGATGGCGGGTCAAAGGTGCAGAATGACTGAACAGCACAGAACGGTGTGAGGGGTGGGCTCTGAAGTCCACCTGTGTTTGAGCCCTGCGTTACCATCTATATGGCTTTGAGTCAGAAGGATAAACTCTCTACGCTTCAGGCTCCTTTCTCTTCTATAAGTGAGTACGCTGATATCACAGCCTCGCTGGGAGGGCTCAGCGAGACGAGGCTGGGGAAGCCCCTGCCGCGGCCCCTGGTGCACCTGTAGCCATCTGCTGCTGTAACAGGGGGCTGCGAGCTTTGCCCTTGAAGCAGCTTGCCGTCTCTGTGGGTGTCTCCTGCCAGGCTCTCCACAGGCTACAAGCCAAGGGGTCAACAAGGGCCGGGTTTTCATCTGAAGGCTTGACTGGGGAAAGATACACCTCCACATTCCCGTGACTGTTGGTGGAATTAGTTTCTCGCTGGCTGGCAGCTGGGGCCCACCTTCAGCTCCTACTATTAGGAACAGTTGACCTAAGACACCCTCAGTACCTTGGCACAGGGGCCTCCCTTGAAATGACCACATGCTTCACCAAAGTCATCAAGGGAGACAGTCTCTTCCAAAGTGGGCATTGAATTCTTATTTAATATAAGAACATTTAATATAATATACATAATATAATTTAATTCTTATTTGACATAAGAATGTACATGTAATCACATCATTCTGTCACTGCTGCCACTTCTATTGGTTAAAAGCGATTCACAAGCTTCCCTGGTGTCTCAGGAAAAGAATCCACCTACCGAGCAGGAGGCACAGGTGTGGTCCCGGGTTGGGAAGATCCCCTGGAGAAGAAAATGGCCACCCATTCCTGTATTCCTGCCTGGGAAATCCCATGGATGGAGGAGTGTGACGGGCTACAGTCCACAGGGTCTCTATGAGCTGGACATGGCTGAAATGACTTAGCACGCATGCTTGAACCCACGCTAGAGGGCAAGGCGGTGTCACGAATCATGCTCTCACGGGCAGAGAGTCGGGGATATTTGGAGACAGGCACTACTTACAACCCCGAGTGGACAGCGAACAGAGAAATCCAAGAGAAGCGCTCCTAACTGCTCAGAGGTCTCCCTAAGTGGTCTGGACGTCCTCTGACCCCACACCAGCCCCCCTCCTCCTGGCTTCTGTGCCCCTAAATGCTGACCTTCCCAGAATGCACCACCTAGACTCACGCTGACCTCTGGTTTTCGATTAGATTCAGCCAAAGCGGGTGGCTGTAGGAGTTCGGAGGATGAAAAACAGATATTTAGGTTATGTATCTTCCTGCTTTCCTTATCCTCTGTCTCTGTCCACAGCTAGGTCAGGCGGCCCCCTCCCACAATGCGAGCTTTCCGTGGGCTCCACTAACAGCTCCGTTCATTGAGCACTTCTCTCCTGTGTGTGTGTGCACGCGTGTGTGTGCACGCACATGCATGTGTGTGCGATGTAATGAAAACTGCTTTACTTCTTTTTCTCAGCATTTGTTTTGAACTTTTCATTTTGTATTGGAGTGTAGCCAGCTAACAATGCTGTAATAGTTTAGGTGAACAGCGATGGGACTTAACCGAAAGTATACACGTATCCATTCTCCCCCAAACTCACCTCCCTCCCAGGCTGCCGCTTAACACGGAGCGGAGTTCCTTGTGTTATACCATAGGTCCTTGCTCATCCATTTTAAATAGAGCCATGTGTGCCTGTCCATCCCAAACTCCCTAACTATCCGTTCTTCCTCCCCACCCCCAGCAACCATAAGTTCATTCTCTAAGTCTGTGCGCCTCTTTCTGTGTTGTAAGCTCATTTGTATCATTTCTTTTTAGAGTCCACCTGTGAGGGATGTCATGCGCTCTGTCTCCTTCTCTGTCTGAAGTATTTCGCTGAGTGTGACACTCTCTGGGTCCACCTCTGTTACGGCACCTGGCACGACTCCGTTCTTCTTCATGGCTGAGCGGCACCCACTGTATGTATGCACCGCGTCTTCCTTATCTATTCCTCTGTCAGTGCACAATTAGGGTGCCTCCATGTCTTGTCTATTGTAAATAGTACCGCAGTGAACATAGGGGTGCATGTATCTCTTCAAATTATAGTTTGTCCTGATATATGCCCAGGAGTGGGATTGCTAGATCATATGGCTACTCTATTTTTAATTGTTTAAGGGATCTCTTTACTGTTCTTCATAGTGAGTGTGTGCTAAATCACTTTGGTTTTGTCCAACTCTTTGCAACCCCATGGACTGCAGCATAGGAGGCTCCTCTGTCCACGGGATACTCCAGGCAAGAAGACTGGAGCAGGTTGCCATTTCCTTCTCCAGGGCATCTTTCCAACCCAGGGATCAAACCTGCATCTCTTATGTCTCTTGGATTGGCAAGCAGGTCCTTTACCACTAGCGCCACCTGGGAAGTTCTTCTTTTTTTTTTTTTTTTTTGGGGGGGAAGTTCTTCATAGTAGCTGCACCAGTTTACCTTCCCAGCAACACCACTTTTCTCTTAAGACCTCACTGTTCTCCTTGGCTCCCTGGTGCCTAGGTGACTCTCTATCCTTTGATGCCTCTGAAAACTCTGCCCACAGCCTTAAGAGTAAACTCTGCTGATCTCTCTTATGTTACCCCTTGGAATGGGCTGTCCTCACTAGGATCCTGACTGAAATCCGACATCTCACCTTTTGACCTCAGTGGAATGATGTAAACACTGTCTTTCCTGTGGTTGACTTTTACGCCTGTGAATTCCTGTAGAGTTATATGTAAGCCACTTGAGAATGATTAAGTTAAAGAAAATTCTTTGGCTGGAAGCTATGTCAGTGTCAGTTCTAGATTTTGGGGGGTCGGGGGGAAGATCCTGTTGAAAATCTCCAAACTCCTAGCTTATTTGATTGCTTTTATGATGCACCTTTTCTCTTGACAGTAAACTCAGTTTTTAATATCTGGACTATATGTCTGGCTTTTCTGAGCTTGAAGTCCATTGGAAAGACTTTGGAGGGTTAGAGAGGCATGTCAATTGCATGCATGCCCCAGGCTTCGTGTCTGCCTGTGTTCATGCCCTGCGCAGCCCCTTTGCAAGTTATTTTCTCTCAGGAAGCCAAATGTGCTTCCCTGTCCCAGACCTTGCTTCTGTCTGTGTGATTTGCTTTGGCAAACAATGTCAGTGGCTATAGTGCAAAGTCCTGAGAAACGCTTATGTGATGGCCCTGGCCCCTAGCCCCTCAGCCATCGCCATGAGGACAACATATCCAGGCTGTGCTGGGGGCCAGGAAGAAGGCCAAAGAAAGGCTCAAGGAACAGGCAGTCCCCAGCGACTCCAGTCCTGCTCTGCTGACTCTGAGCACGGGGGAGTCTGTGGACTCACGTGGCAGAGCCACGACCCACGCGGCTGGGAGGATGCGCAGTCAGTGGCTTGTTGTGCAGAATTACTGCGGCTGTAACTCATCCAAGTAGAGTTGAGAAGCCAGCTATTTCACAGCTTATTCTTCTGATAGTTCCCCCTCACAGGACTAAGAATCTGCCTCGTGGAAGGCCCTGGGGGCAGTCATGAGTGAGCCAGAAGGGGTCTGCGGCCTTGGGTCCTCCCTCAGCTCAGTCACTGCCTCTCAGGCGTCGCAGGTCCCCACAGCCACGGATCCTGCACTTTTTCCTTGCAGCTGCGTTTCTTTAGGGTCTTTTGATTGTAAGTGATAGAAACTCAATCAAATTGACTTCAGCATAAAAAGGAAAAAGACATATTGACTCCTGTAACTGAGAAGGTTAGGGAGGCTGACTGAGGCACAGCTGGATTCAATGTGGTGAAGACTTGGTCCATGTCCCTCTGGTTCCTGTCTTAGCTAAGGAAACAGTTGAAGTATATAATGATGCTTCAATCATATATATATATATATATATATATATATATATATAATGATGCTTGAATCATTAATGATCCTTGAATGCTTACTATCTGCCACTCCTTGGAAGAAAAGTTATGACCAAACTAGACAGCATATTAAAAAGCAGAGACATCAGTTTGCAAAACAAAGGTCCATCTAGTCATGGACCATGGTTTTCCAGTGGTCATGTATGTATGTGAGACTTGGACTATAAAGAAAGCTGAGCGCTGAAGAATGGATGCTTTTGAACTGTGGTGTTGGAGAAGATTCTTGAGAGCCCCTTGGATTGCAAGGAGATCCAACCAGTCCATCGTAAAGGAAATCAGTCCTGAATAATCATTGGAAGGACGGATGCTGAAGCTGAAACTCCAATACTTTGGCCACCTGATGCGAAGAGCTGACTCATTGGAAAAGACCCTGATGCTGGGAAAGATTGGAGACAGGAGGAGAAGGGGGTGACAGAGGATATGGTTGGATGGCATCACCGACTCAACGGACATGAGTTTGGGTAAACTCAGGGAGTCAGTGATGGACAGGGAGGCCTGGCATGCTGCAGTCCATGGGGTCGCAGTCAGACACAACTGAGAGACTGAACTTAGCTGAATATGCCAGAAACTACCAAGTGTTTTTAATGTAGATTCTTACACCCTCATGAGACAGTGTACCACACTGTGCTGTGTCCTCAGATGACCTGCCAGGATCCAGGGTCAGCCCTCCGTGGGGTAGAAACAATGTACGTTGTACAGCTCACACTGCTTGCCATTCTAAGGAATGCATCTCTGCTTGGAATAAGCATATAGTAAACAAAATTCATTTCCTTTACTCTTTGTCCATTTTATCATCTTCAAGTATCTCATACAATCATTCTAGGACATGCCAATTTATATATTTCATATGGCATGCCCACTAAATGTAAGTGGTATCTTTATCTGGAACTCTGGTAAAGAAACAGTAACTTATTCCAACTCTGGAGGGAAGATCTATGTTGGACTTGGTGAGACATGTGGGGGATCATTTGATTTTTTTTCATCCAAAGCAAGACCCTTTTGATAGTAAAAGGAGATGCTTTTAAGAGTTACGTAGCAACGAAAGTCATTGAGTTGGACTCCGATCAGACAGGGCTGCTCCTCTCTGCTCTCCTCCACGTGAGGGTGTGATGGGGAGGGGATCCTACAGGCTAGAAAGAGGGCCTTCACCAAATCTTCTGCACCTTGATACTGGACTTCTCAGCCTTCCAGAGCTGTAAGAAACAAATGATTGCTTTAGCTCTTGTGTTTGCCGTCTTATTTCTCCTTATTTAGTTTAGTTTCT